ATATATATATATATATATATATATATATATATATATATATATATATATATATATATATGAATAAATTTGAAATATATACGTGTATACTACAAAAAAAAGATGAAAAAATACATTTATGGGAAAGAGGGTTTGCATGCTTGATATTTTTCATGTATTGGGAAGACAAACATTCAATGGATGAGAGGGAATCATGAAGAGAAATTCAAAACCTAACGGGAAGGGCATTTTCGGTATAAAATTTATCCGAAAATCCTAATTTGGGTGTGATTTTACTTTAATAACCCCATTTGGATCATTGTAGCGAAAAATGGTGTGGCCCAAAGGAATTTTCCATAACAAAAACAATTTGGCAAAAGAAAATAAACCAAAAGGTAGAATATTGTAATTATATGAAATTTAGGGAGGCTAGCATAAATATGCAAACATTCCCAATTCGCTGGACCAAAAACATTAAACCCCAGTATTGCCAGCAGAAAACCCTTCTGCTTCTTCCCATAAAATCATTTCCATCTTCAGAAATTCACACAAAACCTAATCACTATATGAAAAATTCAGACTTTCTCTAAAACCCAATTTCAACCATGAATTTCTTAACAAAAACAATAGCAAATAGGACCTTATCCTCCTCTTCATACCCCAAAAAATGCCAACTTTTTCAATCTTTTTCAAGATTTGTCTCTAAAACAACCACCCCAAGAAAATCCAAAATCCCAAAACCCCAAGAACCCTCTTCATCTTATTCTCTCACCCCTCCAAAAATTGAAACCAATGAAGCTGAAAATATATCTTCTTGGCCAAAGCCAAGTGAAATCCCTTACCAATCAAAAGTTGCAAATTTTGTCAATCTTGTTGGTTTTGTGCAAACCCCAATTCAGTTTGAAACTTCCCCTGATGGGAATTACTGTGCTGGTACTATTCTTGCTCATGAGAGTAATGATAATAATAATAGTAATAATAACTCTATTTTAATGATTCCTGTTGTGTTTGTTGGTGATTTAGCTCATGTTGTGGCTTGTCATGTAAAGGAAAATGATTCTGTTTATGTTTCTGGGAAGTTTTCTATGGATCCAATGCCTTGTGAAATTATGGATAAATATAAGTTCTCTTTTCATATTGTTGCTGAAAATGTTAACTTTGTTCAAGGTCTGAAACAAATAGCTCCCCGAAAGGCGAGGGGACAGTTTGTTTATCCGAAAAGTAGTACTAAGCAGCAGCATTCTGATAATGAGAAAGATATTAGCTTGTCTACTTTGGAAAATGATGATTCTGTTGTTAATTCGGGTGGTGGGAGTAAGTCGGAGGGAGGTGATGAATGGAGGGACCTTATCAAGAATCCGAAACAATGGTGGGATTGTCGGAAGGCAAAGTTAGATGGGATTGTAAAAGCAAGGCACCCTGATTTCAAGAAGAAGGATAGTAGTAGTATTGCATTGTGGCTTGAGAATGCGCCGAGGTGGGTACTTGAGGGAGTTGAAGGACTTGAATTTGATGTATATGTTCCGAAATCTAAAGGAGTAGGAAAGGAGGTGGATTCTTGGAAAGATTTGTTGGAAAATCCTGATAAATGGTGGGATAATAGAGCTACTAAGTTGAATCAGAAAGCACCTGATTTTAAGCACAAGAATACTGGTATTGGGCTTTGGGTCGATAACTCACCAGATTGGGTGTTGTCTCAGTTGCCACCATTGAGAGATCAACGTGCTGAATATAAGATGAACCAGAGCTAAAACGTGTTGCGCAGCAACTCCACTTTAGGTAGAGTTTCCATGTAATCTTGATGCTATAACATTAGACTTTGTGCAGTATAGTCAAATCCTGGCCACCTAAAAGTTTGAGAAGTGTTGAGGTGGAGGGAAGCGCATTATCGTTATGCTTGTGAAGTACTTATTATCCCCTATAGTGGTTCATCTTATAGCACTTTCTTATGATAGTTTTGTTATCCGATGCATCTTTTATTTATGATTTTGGTGAATATGAAGATCTTGATTTTAGTATTTTGAGAATAGCAGTGCTATTTGTTGATTCCTCATACTTAAGCTCCGAGGCCAAGCCAATTTTTTGCATGAAAACTTTTCTCAAATTCTGTGTGTTAATTAGATTTACGACATGCATTATCAAGGAAACTATATAATGAGATGTTAGTAAAACAATATGGCATGTCGAAAATTAGTAAAGAGAAAATGGAGGGTAAAAGAATGACACTAGTTTGAATGTATCTAAGCACATTAGTTTGAAACTTTCACCAGCTATCTTTTCTTGAATGATGATCTCAAGCTTGGCTATCCGACACTGTTATGTCATGTCCGAGATTTAGACATGGAGTTGCTATATTATACAAAACTATCAGTAATAATTCTATGCTCCAGCCTCCAGGTATGACATTGTTGAAAACAGATCCATGTTAGATCACTAGTCTGTTCTTTCTGCTGCCCGGCGTCTTGGTAAATTTTGGACAGCCTGAAGTCTGCAGGTAAGTGACAATTGGCTCTATAGCCAGTAAAACTTTGTCCATAATTTTTTTATTTGGCTAGAGTTATAGGGTGGCCAGGATATGCACACCTTCATCTTTACATGCGGTCAGTTACAATTGAAGCTATTCAAAATCAAAATGTATCGCCAAAGAATCAGTACCAGGTATAGATTGATCACTATTGCCAGTAAGTTTCCAAGAAAATTTACTTGCAGGGACATTTTTTAATTCGTAGACTACAACTTGAGCAACAACAACAACAACAATCCCGTATAACCCCACAAGTGGGGTATGAGGAGAGTATGTGTAGGCAGACCTTACCCCTACCTTGGTGGTGTAGAGAGGTTGTTTTCGATAGACCCTCGGCTCAAGAAGACGAAAAGAGACAATAGAAAGTAACAGACTAACAGCAACAGAGGCCAGAAAGAGACTAGTGACTACAGCTGTTTGTTGGTTTAGCAAACTGCAGTCAACGCAGTTGGTACTCAATTTCCCTGCAGTTCCACTATTATGTAGGAATATCACTAGCTGTTTTATTCAAGATGATAAGAAGAATGCTTGTCTTAGGAATATCAATCTTTTTGAGGAAATAATTTGAGTTCCTGGAAAAACATTATTAGGCATAGGGACATAAAAGGATGACATTTAATAAAGAAGCAAGTTGTGTTGATTGGTTGGTAGTGGAGTATAAATTATAGATTAGTCTGAAATATTTTGAAATTATTGCTGGTTATTTAGGATTCTACTTATAGACATGTTTAGAATGGCTCCAGTAGCTAAATTTATGTCAAGTCTGGTTGCTCGGGCTTTTGTACCTTTTGACCGTGGTATGGTATTGCCAGATCATGAGCTTTGGTCAGTTTAGAGACTATACATGTTCCTAATTGCTCCCTTAACATTACCGTTAGGGGTCGTTTGGTCGAAGACAAGTTATGTTGGAATTAGTTATCTATGTTGTATTAATTCTGGGATTGTCAATTTTACTGTTTTACCGTAGGATAATTTATCCTGGATTACTGTTTCACCCTCTGGCAAGTATAATTTATCTCGGTACTATTTTTAATCCTAGGATTAGTGACCAAACCAAAGGATAAGGAGTACTAAATTTTTATTTCAGGATTATTTTTGCTTATCCATCATACCAAACAACCCCTTATTATAACATAGATGACTTTCTTGAAGTAAGTTATGGATGTCAATTCCTATGTGTATAATATGGATTGTGTGGTTAGAGAACAAAAGATGCTACTGAAGATAAAAAAGGAACCGATTTCCTTTGTTAAATGCAGATTCAGAACTTGTTTTACTGGAAGAGAGGGAATGTTGTAACCGGCTTGATAAAAACGAAGAATTTGCGCAATTTCTTTTCTAATAAGTGATTGATGGATCATAGAGAATTTGGGTTTGATTAATAAGTTTACACCCACTTAACAAACTTGGTTGACGAACATAGTTTATGCGCCACTAATATTAGCAGTTTGTCGAGCATTTTACAAACTCGCACCATCCATTTCAATTAGTTTATCCGCTAATGCACCGCTAATTTACTACCTAAGTTTGAGCCTAATAAAATTTAATCTTCCAAGAGGAATGAGATTTGCCACCTTATTTGCTTGTATTCCACACAAGTTCTTAACAGAAACTCTTATAAAGAAAGTAGTTAAAATTTCTCAATCCCATTTTCTTTTTGGGGTAAATTAGGGAATTTGCAACTGCTACTCTTTGGGTGTAATAGCTCGCAAATCACACTGGAGAGGTAAACCGTATTAGGCAAGCTCCGTACAACGAGCTCTACCGAGAAAACATGCGGGGGTTAATATAAAGAAAGTAGTTAAAAATTCTCAATCCTTAACTAGTTTCTTTTCTTTCTTTTTTCAGGTTTTAGACTAGCAAAAAAAAAAACAAAGACTAGAACTAGGAATTAATTTGTGTCTATTATTGACTAACGCTCTAATTAAGTATCAAAATGAGTTCATGAACTAAACTTGCCTCCTATTTTAAGTGAGTAATAATTGACAGTTTCCTTCAAAATATATACTTTAGGTGAGTTTGATAAATTTATATTGTCACCGACTTGCTTAAATAATTCAATTAAATTAAAAAAATATGAAAAATAGCAGGTGCATGCCGTTTCAAATAGGAAAATCATTTCTTGCTTCCTAAAACTTGACATTTTAGGTGTATGAGCTTTCTATCTCAACTACTATTTGGTATAGAAAGCAACTTATTTCCTTCTGCATATGATTAATTTCTTTGCTTTATTTCTTCTTTCTTTTACTTCAAGCAAAACCCCTCACCCAATAAAATAAATAAAATTGAGAAAACAACTAACACTTTGTTTTATTCAACCAACACCTTCAATTATATGTTTGTTAGCTCCCTATATAATTTTTTTCACCAAATTGATAGAAAAAAAAGGTTTTTTTCTTCTCATTTCTCAACCATATTAGTTATATATAATTTCCATGCTACATTTCCTTGCCTATTGCATCATCATTTCCTTATATTTTTCATCTTAGTGAAGAAAACCAAGATTCTTCACATTTTAAATCATGGTTTCTTTAGAAAGATCAAAGAAAAAAGTGCAACTATGGAAGAAAGCAATTGTTCATTTTCTTCTTTGTTTTGTTATGGGGTTTTTCACTGGCTTTGCTCCAACAGGCAAAGGTTCATTGTTTTCCACTAGGAATATTGCTATTCCTAAAATTCCTCAATCAAATCAAACACAACCAAATATGTTGCACCATTCAAGATTAGAAAGTGAGATTTTCAATAAACCTCTGTTAGACGAAACATCAACAACAGTAGCATCAGAATGGTTTAACTTAAACGATACGAGACATTCAGAAAAGGTCTTAGAAGAAAAAGAAGAAGAAGAAGGAGAAGAGCGACAAGAACAGGATCAAGATCAAGTTCAAGAACAAGAGGAAGCTAATGGTGAGTTCTTGAATCCGAGAAGGCTACTAATTATTGTCACTCCAACGAGCGCGAAAGATCAAAATAGAGGAATGCTACTAAGGAGATTATCAAACACATTGAGATTAATTCCACAACCAATTTTATGGGTGGTTGTGGAGCAACAAATTGAGGATTCAAATGTATCAAAAATACTTAGGAAAACTGGAATTATGTATAGGCACTTGGTTTTTAAGGAGAATTTCACTAATATACATGAAGAAGTGGATCATCAAAGAAATGTGGCTCTTAATCACATTGAACATCACAAGTTAAGTGGGATTGTTCATTTTGCTAGCCTATCAAATGTCTATGATCTCAGCTTCTTTGATGAACTTCGAGCAATTGAGTAAGTTTTCTTAATTTCTACTTCTCCATATTTTTTTAAAAATCATTTCCATTATAAATATTGCAATTTCTTTTTGTATGTAGGAGTTTATGTGATCGTTTAACTTAGGACCCGTTTGTCCATAGATATTTTTTCCCTTTTTTCTATTTTTTTTGCAAAAACATGTTTGTCCATGAAATTTGCAAGTTTTTGAAATTTTTGCGAAAATGAGTTTTTCAAAAACCAAAAAAGTGATTTTGACCACTTTTTAAAAAATTTCATAAACTTTGGTTTCCCTACTCACAAAACTGCAATACTTTTTCAAGTGAATTGCATGTCCAAACATAATTTCAAATTCCAAATACTGTTTTTCCACATAACTCCAAATACTACATCATTTCAAAAATTACAATTTTTATGTCCAAACGTCTACTTAGTTTCTTGAAAGAAAAAATAACCATTCAAGTTGTTTTAACATGTTATAGTAGGTAATATATCTTATTTTCCAGGTTACTAGTCGCACTTTTTATAAACGGTTAGCTATAGTCATCTTTTAAATGACCTGAAGCTTTTTTTTTATGTGGTTAGTGTAGATAAGTTAAACACGAATCATTTGGATAATCTCAAGTCATTTAAGTAAGTGTTAGTTGGGGAACTTCTGCCCCGCAGATTTAAATAACATGAAAAAATAGTAGTTTTTGATCAAATCCTAAGTTAGTGGGCTCATTTTCTTGGCTCTTATAGGTCTTATTACTACTTAAACAAGCATCAATAACAGCTAGCTAATTATAATGTTAAAATCAAGCCTAACTAATAGAATAAGTTTTATCATATCCAAACTCTCTTTTTTCATATTATTTTGGTTAATTTTATTAAACGTAAGTGTTAACACAGATTCTTTAAATAATTAAGCATCTTGTATTATGTCTTTATAAAGGGAGAATCCAAGAAAATCTTTGACAACTTATACAAACACATGGCTCATTGAGTCTCATTACTCTATAATACATTCTTTATTAGAATTTTAGCTTGACAATAAAAATAAAAGTTGATGCTATTATTTGTTTATTGTTTTCTTTTCTATTCTTGAGCCGAGTGTCTACATGAAACAACCTCTCTATCTTCATAAAGTTGGGATAAGGTCTGCGTAAACACTACTTTCCCCAGACCCCACTTGTAGAATTTCACTGGGTTTGTTGTTGTTGTTGTTGGCTTGACAATAAATAAAAGGTCAATCTGGTACACTAAATTGCACAGGTCCAGAGAAGGGCCGGATCATATTAAATTTATTATATGCAACGCTACCTTGTATTTTTATAAAAGACGATTTTCATAGCTTGAACCTGTGATTTTCAGGTCACATAACGGTTTTGAGAACCAAAAAAGGGAAATATTTGATTTTATGGCCTATGTTTTAAATTGCAGGGGATTTGGGACATGGCCAATGGCATTATTATCTGCAAACAAGAAGGAAGTGATAATAGAGGGACCAGTTTGTGATTCATCTGAAGTTATGGGGTGGCATTTGAAGAAAGCAAATAATTCAACAGATGAAAGGCCTCCAATTAGAGTTTCAAGTGTTGCTTTTAACAGTTCAATTCTTTGGGATCCAGAAAGATGGGGTCGCACTTCTTCTATTCAAGACACTTCTCAGGTATATATTATTTACTATACAATTTTTCAAGTTAATTAAGTGGGCGTTTGGACATAAGAATTGTGAAAAAAAATAAAAAAATAAAAAGTGAAAATAATGTTTAATAATTAGAGTTGTTTTTTTACATGAATACAATTTGAAGCTGTTATTAAATTTTGTGAGTAATTTGAAGTGAAAATTTTGAAAAATAATTTTTTGGATTTTTTTTCAAATTTTCGAAAAATTTCAAAATTCAACTTCACGTTATATATGAAATTTCATGGTCAACTACTGATTCCGAAAAAAATAAAAATAAAATAAAAGTAATTTTTTTTATGGGCGAACATGCCCTAACTTTGGTAAAAGTCATTTTAATTAAGTTGATCTTATCAAATGACATTAATTGGAGAATACTTTGTAAATAGTTTTGATAACAACACCAACAATAAATAACGAAAAAATGACACTGTATAACCAAAATATATATATATA